TGTAGTAAAGACAACAACCTCACACATGTACATATACTCGATGTTTGCAGAAAGCGTTTGAATAAGGACGTTCTCTCCAGGGTTTTGAAGGTGAGTTTCACAGACAAATGGTCTAGCTTCTCCAGATGTCATTGTCGTTCGATGCCCACACCTTATGTAGTCTTCAAGCGATGAGCCAACAAACACTTCAATGGAAACGTAATTAACCCATGCACCAGAGATATCTTGTGCTCCTCCAAACAGCACTACCACTTCCGTTAGTATACTTAATTGATCGAGTTCGAACATGATGTGAGCAACTCGAGAATGATCTAACATGCTTCTTTTTACTTTATCGCATGCTTCTGAACTTACACTGAAGTTTCTATCCAAGGATTTCATTATGAGATTGCTGTACGACAGCCAAGCTGGTTCTGAAAAAAATATGGCAAGGAAAAGAGCCTGACCTTTAGCATGTTGGGTTTCATATTATCATAATAGTACCCTTCGCAGTTCCATGCRCCTTCTTGAAAGATAGCCGTGCCTTTGCATCGACGACGGACTAACGGTAAACTTGCAATGATAGAGACGTGAATAATTCTCAAAGGCTTTAAAAAAAGATTTCTATCATTGCAAGCTCGCCGTTCGTCTCGCTTCGATGCAACTTTAGAGATGGCGCAGTGATGCTAAGTGAACTTTAAAAGGGACTATTGACGACATGTTGCTAAACGTCATTCAATAAATACGTTATTTAGGATAGAAGCATCTTACCAACAACATGACATTGTGAGCCTGTGTTTGCTGTCACACTTTTTTCTGCTCCAAGTAGAAACATGTACCACGGGATATATGGAATGTCATTAGGCCAGAAGGGATATAAACACAGTGATGCAAATGCCCTGATTTTAGATAACGACAAATTGCTGTACCACATATTCGCTCCAAAAACTTGCCCAACAAACCCTTGACCCCCGCTATGTAGTCCACCAAGACTCAAAACCAGGCCTCTTGAAACGTTAAGACTGGGACTGAGACCTAGGCCCCAGCCATAGGCATCACCATCGATTAGAATACGCCATGTTCCTTGATCTGAAGTCCAGCATGCACAAACATGATGCCATTCTGCATCAAAAAGATCTGGAACTCTGAAGTACCTGGTTATAAAATATTTTCAAAGCTTCACTTTATTTGGCAAGCGTGGTCAAATATTTGGAAGTTATAGATACAAACATCTTGTAATGATGATAACACAGCGAATAGCTTTCTTTCCCAGTTAATGTTTGTAAGTGATTGCATACTGAATACTAATACCAATACTAAGAGTATTAATTGTGGTGTTGAAAGTACGACAAAGGGAGTGATGTAGTGGTCGGTATTGTGTCTGTATGTCATATGTTTTTTTATTTTGCTAAAATAATATTTCTTGAAATGAAGTTAATAGAATATATATAAATTTTGAAAGTTTAAAGGTGGGGTTCTAATAGTTGTAGATATCGGTAATACGAAAGAGATATTTACCTAGTCTGATTGCCAGTTCTAAATTCCATTAGTGCGTTTTCTTGCTGTTGGTTATGATAGGTAAGCTGAACATGACTCGAGTAAGTAAAGATCGTTTGTTTGGTCTAAGCAATGAATAACCGAAGCCAGAGACAAATGGTGAAGGCTGGTAACGGTTCTTTGCGTAGATGTTGTACAGGGTAAACTGCAAGGGCTCCTGAAGTGTTTTTATTGAAGTTTAAACTGAAATCTACACGAAAGGGATAGAAGGAGCAGACAGGTATATCACTATCATAATCCCCTTTATGACAATACACGGGAAACATAGTCAGATGACGTAATGACAATCAGTAAAAAAAACCATGAAAAATCCACTCCACTCCACCCCACTCCACCCCACTCCACCCCACTCCACCCCACTCCACCCCACTCCACTCCACCCAAAGGTACTTACTTAAAAGAGTGGAATAACCTACCATCGAAATCAATACGCATTCGCGTAGCATTGATTGGTGTTGGT